ATTTGATTCAGTCACTTTATATTTCATACATGCAATTCCAGTATTATAAATCAGAGTTTTTAATTGATCATTAGTTTCAGATTTCAGGAAAGTTACAGTCTTTTCAAAGAAAAACCAAATTCGTGGACATTTACGTATCCCTGGATATTAACCTATTTCCATGTGCTTAACACTCAACCATTTTCTTAGGAGTTTGTCTGACTGCCTTTTGCAGGAACCTTGGCCTCTTCAGATGCTCCAAGATCCTTGGTAATCCCCACCTCCTCCATAAAATGCAGTGAAACCTTTGTCCTAACTAAACCACATTTTGTCCTATCTAACTTTGGGACCTGCAAAGTGCATTTCCACAGAATGGCAAGATCTTGTCCTATATATTGAACTGTCCATAAAAACTCTGTAGGAATCCTTGGTGAGTACTGTGTGTTCAAGGCAAATCTAATTTTTAAAAATTCTATTATAAAAAGAAAAATTAAGCTAACACACTATTTTAAAAGGCTTTAAAAGGCCATCACTTAGCTTCCTCCAGCAGAGACTGAACTGCTACAGCCTCAGGACAGATCAGGAGATATTTGATGACAACAGAGTCACTTACAGCTCCCGGAATCCTCTTGGGGTAGGACAGCCAGTGGACAAGGTGCTTCTCAAAAGGAGAAAAAAAGAAAGGCATCCTTCTGGTCCAGAGGGAATATATGTTGGCTCCATTCTGGGAGAAGGGAATGCCAGAGTGTTGCTTATGATTTTGAGAGAGGGGTGGCCTTACCAACACTAGAATTTTCTTTAAAATCTCCTATTAGTGAGCTCAGGAGGGGAGCTTCAGCCCACGGATAGCAGCCAAGAAAAGCCCTGAGCATTGGAAATGCTAAAGGTCAAAGTTTATCTGGATTGCTAAAATTTGCATAGACACTTTAGTCAATTTTGGAAAGCCTGTCATGGTATGCTGCAAAGGATTGGAACAATTAACATTATAGTATGTTTCTACTAGTTTTTAATTTAAGTTCAGTTAAATTGGGATTAGTGTGGCACAAGTGAGGTTTGTAGTGCTTCAAGAAGAGAAGCTAAGCAAATTGATGCTCCAGTCACCCAAGAGGAACAAGGGAGCCATATATACAGGCAGTGAGGGATAGCTGAAAGAGCCAGATTTCTAGTTTGCCTGGGGGAAAATGCAGATCTGGGCATAGGAGATATATCCCTAAAGCTAGGATAGTGATTAGTGGAAGAGAAAACTGCCAACCACTTGAGAAATCCCATTTGGGAAGGACTTTTATTCTTAAATGTATTGTTATTAGAATTGTTACAATTGTATTATCTCTTATTGTAGCATAACATGACTCTCAGTGAATTGCATTACGTGTTAATCAGCATGTCCTATACCTTATTCCAGCTGGTATTTTATTTACTCCTGCATATGTGGCCATTTATAGGGAAATCCACTGAGTACTAGGTGTCCATAAAACTCCAATAATAGGCATGCCTACATTTCTTGGCTTCATGGTTTATTATGAGGTTACCACTGCTTCCATAGAATCAGCCTATAGAAGGCTATATGGGAGTGCATAACATTATCCTTAAGTAACACAGTAGATCTGACTTAACTTCAGTGGCAAGTGAATTGGCTTTTTTCTGAACACATATGAATGCAGAGTGGACAGTAAGACTGGGTTCCAAACTTCATTCAATATTCTTCAATATTGTGATTTTAAATCAGGCCTTAATGTTGGTTAAACATTCTTTGGTTATATTAACCAAAGTCACTTGCTAGACTCTCTGTGCAATGGACCAAGAGGCAACATTTCATCTACTGGGTAATTTAAATAGTAGAAGCATATAAAGGTATTAATACCTTGCACTTAAATAGCATCTTGCATCAAAGGATCTCAATGTGCTTTACAAACATTAATTAAATTTAGCCTCTTAACAAGCTTCTGGGATGTGTAAACAGTATCACCCCATTTTACAGATAGGGCAACTGAGACCCAGATTAGGAGATTTGCCTAATAACACAGACGTCTACGGCAGTGCCAGGAATTGAATCCTGGACTTCTGGCATCCAGTTCTGTGCTTCAACTATAAAGCCACCTTTCCAATATAGCCTAGATGATTAGAGAGAATTTAGGAATAATACCAAATTCTTCCATGAACAGATATAGAAATATTAGGCTCAAGAAACTGTCCATAAACTCAGGGACTCATTAGTTACTTTTATAATTGTCAGTGATTTATGATTTGGTGGATGGAATATTGAGAAGCCAATAAAAGAAGACGCAGGCGCCTTTGATGCTAGCATAATCTGATGGCCATTTGTAGGAATCATTCTGTTTTTACTTGGTTTTCCTTTAGTCAGAAAATAATCAATTGACTAAGTGTATTCCCACAGGCAAATCAACAATAACATTTGGTTCACTGGTCTGTTCTTCTATTATGAAATTCTACCTGGATCCATGATAACATCTGCAACCATGGGATGTATTAAAGTGTAAATGTTTTACACTGTGGTCTCTTTATAAAGCTTCTTTTTAGAATATTCTTAGTGAAATAATGCTATGGAACTGACACTACCTCTGAATTACATTCTTTATATTAAACCCCATTATTACCTTCATGAATATAATCAGATGCTAGACTTTGAGAATAGTATCTAAAAGAACATGCAAACAATTCTATATTAGCTACATTACATAATTCATGAATACTGGTGAAACTTTTCACAAACCAGGCTTGACTTTTGAATTTGAAATGAAATTCCAAACTAGGGAGGTTTAACTGCAAACATTTGGCAGGCAGTAGGAATATACTTTACACTGAGACACTGTAGTGATTGGTGCTATTATCAGAACTTGGAGAGTCAGATAAAGCAGTGTTCCTGTAAAGTAAGGTAGGTGGAGTCAAAAGTGGAATGACCAGAAACATACTTGCTGTTATCCACAATAAGGAACAGGAGTCTCAAGGCCACTCTGAAAGTACATTAGAGAGAGGCTTGGTTTTATCTGACGTGCTAGCCATTGTTCATTAGAGAGATTTTTGAAGCTTGTCTCTCTTTCAGATATAGTCTTGTTTCTTGATGTATCTTCTGAAAGCATCTACTGTGCTTTGTGTTTGAAGGTACAGTTACAGATTCTCTGATGTACCCAAAGATATAAACATGGTTATTGGAAGACAGGACTGAAATATTAGTGCCATTGAAAATAACCCATCACATATTTTTTCTAATGGTAAATTTGATAAATGATGTGCACCTCAAACATTCTGAATTTCTTTACTTTGTGAAGAAAATTACACTCTCAGCATCTGCTGTAACAAAAGAGAAAAATAATAACATATTCAGCTCAGACAACGTGACAACCTGCAATGAAATGAAATGACTGCATTTGTTTTGAATAGATACAGATGAATGAAAATGGTCCATTTATTACAAAGCCACATTGTCTTTTTTAAACTATGTTTTGATTTTTTTTGGACTAGTAATTGTTCAATGGAGCTACTATTTGAATGTACATGTGTGAGAAATTCAAAGACTGCTAAACAGATCAGTACAAATTTACATTGTGTTTATGTTGCTTACTCTTTGTTTTCCAAAATGTTTCCAAACCATGTCTTGTTGTAGAGTGTGGCCCTGAATTAAATGAGCGTGATTCATAATGCAATGTAGAGACTATTCATGACAATTTGGTATCAGATTAAGCTAAAGTATATGACTATTTTTGCTAGTTCAGTGTGTCCTCAAATACTATAAAACACAAATTAGTAAAGTTTTTTTTAACAGACCTTTCGTACCAAACATATTTGAAAACTTTAATTGCTTGAAGAAAGCTATGGAAGATAATGACCCAACATGCCAGGCAGGAAACTTTGTTTTGTTTTTACTAGAAATGGGCCTTACTGGATCTGGAAGTGGAGCCAAACTTACACAAAGTTTGTGGAGTTCAGATCTGGTTTTCTGGTAGATCCTTCTGATGGAGATGATGATAGTCACCAAGATTGTATCCAGGTCTGAATTTCCTCAGTGTTCAAATGGTTTGGATTTGATGTTCCACTATGGGCCAATATTTACTTGTCTATATAACTTACTGTAGTATTCAGTGAGGAAAGTGGTTATATGGCAACTAATATGTGGCAGCATATTTGTTATTTCTAAGACTCTGGAGAGACAAGATAAGTGAGGTTATATCTTTTATTGGACCAACCTCTTCTGGTGAGAGAGACAAGCTTTCAAGCCACACAGAACTCTTCTTCAGGTCTGGAAAGGGAACAGAAGTTGGTCCAATAAAAGATAATACCTCACCCATCTTTTCTCTCTAATATCCTGGGACTGACATTGCTACAACTACACTGAATACAACAATGTAAGCTTCTGGGTGCATTCTTATGGAAGCCCCTGTTAATATGTAATGTAAGAACTAATGAATGGAAAATGTTACTAAAAAAATCATATGCTACTTTTGTAATAGTTTTAGTGTTCATTATATGGAAACATTAATCTCCAGGTTACCAGAATATAAAAGTATCAAGTCATTTATGATTGAAAGTTACCACCATTTGTTGATGATCTCTCCCTTAGTTTTTAATATGCAGGTGTCCATGTTTCTGCACATCATGATCATAATTCGTTAGCTGAGTGGAGAGGCCAAGGACTGAATGGGCATGGAGACTGGATTAACTGCTCAGCCCTCAGATGATCCCTTCAGAGTCAAGCTGAATTAAAGCAAACTGTAGGGAAGCTTGCATGATGTGCACTATGCATTCTGTACTTGTCACCAGCATCAACATCAATGAAATAAAAAGGGGAAATTCATTAAGAGGGAAAGGAATTGTTAAAAAAACCCAAACCAAATGAGACAGGCATCCAAAGCATATAGACTATTTGGACATTCCTTTCTGTGTCACCATTTTCTAATAGAGCTCATGTTATCTTTATTGAATATCCATGAGAAAATTGCAATAACATTATGATTTAACAGATCTTCCCTTAATATTTAAAACTGAAAACTGTGTTTATTTTTCAGAAATCCTCCCCCTACTTTGCTACACCCAGAAAAATGGTGCAGAGGATTCAACCACTTCATTTCACAGTGAGTTTTTCCTCCATTTAAAAACTGCTTACTCTACAAGGCCTTACAGTGTGACATGAAACCCTGAAAGCAGAATTTACTTGGTTCACACAGTTGTTTTGCTTGGTAGAAGGTTATAACACATATGATCATCTCATAAATTGAAGACTGCATATCATGTTTTGAAAACTGACCAGCTCAGTTTGATCTCTTCATGCAATTTGCTTAACAGCAGCTGTGGACTATACTAAGTTGACTAGCTTCTTGACTTGTGATGGACCCAGGATGAATTTATTAATACACTTGGTTTGCTTGATGGTTTAGAGGTAAAGTTTGGTGGTATAGGAGATCTAAATGTGGTAGCAACATATGGACTTGCCTTGCAGGGAAGGGTTTGCTGAAGTAAATTCTAGGCAATTAAAATCAAAATGAAAAAGGAGAGGAACAAAGCGGTTGTCCTAACCCCCTTCCATCCAACCTTGGATACCTCTAACAAACCAAAACCAGCAGAAAATATTAAGTTAGGGACTGATGTGTTATCTAGGTGCCACTCAGCTTCAGCATGGGATCCTCAATAAACCAAACTCATGTTTTGTTTGTTAGTACAAGTAAACTAAGAAATGCATAATTTATCTTTTATCATCAAATCTAAAACTCTTATAATAACTTCCATTAATAAGCAAATATATGATATAATAGAGGTCTATAAAATCATGATGGATGTGGAGAAAGTAAATAAGGAAGTGTTATTTACTCCTTCTCGTAACACAAGAACTAGGGGTCACCAAATGAAATGAATAGGCAGTAGATTTAAAACAACCTGTGTAACTCCTTGCCAGAGGATTTTGTGAGGGCCAAGACTATAACAGGATTCAAAAAAGAGCTAGATAAATTCATGGAGGATAGGTCCATCAGTGGCTATTAGCTGGGATGGGCAGGGATGGTGTCTCTAGCCTCTGTTTGCCAGAAGCTGGGAATGGGCGACAGGGAATGGATCACTTGATGATTACCTGTTCTGTTCATTCCCTCTGAAGCACCTGCATTGACCACTGTTGGAAGACAGGATACTGGGCTATTTGGGCCTTTTGTCTGACCAAGTATGGCCATACTTATGTTCTTATGTTCATCATATCTTAGGACTTCATTCTGCGCTAATATGCCCTTATGTTATCAGATCCTTATTGATTCAACGCTATTCAAGTTACTTAATGCTTTAAATCTCTTATTCCTGGTGCTTCAACTGAAACAACACTCCTCAGTTTTTGTTTTTTCCCCTTGGCTTTGAAAACCTGGCTAGGTCCATTCTGTACCTGTGCCACAAATAATGTATCCAGAAATCTCTTGAACTAGCAGTGGTACATGAACTGAGTCTGACACAGACTTTCTGAAGTTGGTCTTTTGGGGCAACTTCCCATTTTAGGAGGTTGAAGATTAAGGACTTGATCCAAAGCTGATTAAAGTCAATGGAAAGACTCCTATTGACTTCAGTGTTTTTTGGATCAGGCCATAAGGTAAGGCAAGGTGCTGGCTGACCTACAGATGGTATCTACTACTGCTGAAAACTAAAGGAGATTTTTTTTGCTGAAGTAGTAGAACTCTGTGCATTTGGAGCAGATAGACCCGACCTCTTTTTCTATGCTACATGTGCCTGGTTTAACTAGTAACTATGTAGTACATTGTGATCACTGATTAATTACAAAGGATAAAAATCTTCCAAGTCTGCAATGGATGATGGCTGGCTTTTCTTCCATATTGACAGAGAACCCCTAAAATGTGAAGCTTGAGGTGCTTGTGGCGGGCAGCCAATGTTTGGGAGAAAATCATCACCGATGGTCTAATATTCTGTTTGTGTTGTGTAGAGACAAGGCAGTTGGTAAATATGAAAACAAAATTCAACTATTTGATACATCCTGCTTCAGTGTTGTCCTCCACACGCTTCCTTCTTGGTGCCTTCATTCTTGGAAACCCTTTCAGAGCTTGGGAACAATACAATAAATTAAGCTTAACACTTCCTGACCTTTATTCAAACTTTTAATTAAATGTGAACACTGAAATCCAATAGGGTATAAATAACTCTATAGTAGGAGTCAAGGTTTGGTGGTTTATATATCCAGTGTAATACTTGTTTTTTCAGTTTTTTGATATCCTAAAATTATACGTTTGTAATCTGATCAATTTTAATTATTTTTTCCCAACAGCTATTCTCCAAATTTGTTGAACCTGCTTTTTGTTCTTACAGTAACATACACAGTGAAGCAGTAAAGTGTACTAATAAGCAGTGTTTTAAGCATAAATGATATCTGAAGCAATACAAGAATTGTAATAAATTTACCAGTTTTGTAGTTTCATGAAAGAGAACATTGGAATGGAATTTGCTGTGACATTGCCACATTTTGTTTACTGGTTTGCAATCTCCCATAAGAGGTGAATTACGAAACATTTTTACCCAGGGTTCAGTTTACATTAGTAAACCTTCATTTTTTTTATAATAAAAACATCAGACTATACAGCTGTGAACCTTTTAGCCATTACTGATAATTGGCTCATTTATATGCATTAGTTATGCATTTGTCAATGCATGACTCATGACAGCTTAGTTATGATAAATTAAAAGTAATGATTATATAAATTCCTTACTGCCTTTTGTCCATATGTTAGGACCTTGCCTGATGTTTCTGTCACCCTTGTGATGAGTGGTTGGCTTTGTAGTAATTTCATTATCTACTTCTCTCCTGATGGCCAACATCATTTGCATAACAAGCTTATCTGGTTCAAGTTGTGGTCCAGACCTGTGTATTGACACAAAACGGAGCATGCTGCTTCAGCTAAGCATACCTTTGACTTAAGTTCTGTTGATACAGTGATTTCATCCTTGCCAACACTGGCAAATTTAGGCAATGTAGTTTCTTTTCCATATTTCTGTGCCTTGTTCAGAGTAATAGCGGTGCTCCAGATGTAATGCCAAAATGTTCTTCCTGTCCTGAGAGCCTTTTGTATTCTAAGTAGTCACTCACATATCACAATAATTTGTAAAACTTCCAAGCTGGAAGGTGTAGTGTTTTTCTCATCTAGCTTTTGAGCCGATCGTAGGCAATAAAGGTACATTACTTTTGTTAACATGAAATCCACAGAATACTAGTACAACTTGAGTTAGTGATTGTGCTGTAAAATCCCAGTGGACACAAAGCACAGGTAGTTTTTACCTGGATGTACATAGGTGAGGTCAAAACTCTCTCCCTTCCCTCACCTAGTGTTGACCTTGACTAGCTACGTTGAGGTAAAAACTACAGCACCTTGTCTCCACTAGGATTTTGCAGTGATATAGCTAATGAGATAGTTAGCTTGCTGTAGAAACACACCTTGTTGGTGGTGAAGACATAGCCTTTATCAAACCATCTCAGAAAACAGCAAAATGGCATGTCATTTCCTATAAGTAGGTTTGGAAGGATTAGATTTTATTGGTAAAGTTGGTAAACATTGATTTCATTGCACACTCACAAACTGAAAATATATTCCCATCAATGATGATAAAAATTTACAGATAGGCAAAGTAAGAAAAATGCTGTGTGAGAGCTGTGGTTTGATTTAAGGATGTTTACTTTGTATATTTTGACATGTGATGTGTTTTAATGGTTATAGAGCTTTAGCTTTTTGAATCTCAGCATCTACTGTCATTAAATAATTGCTGTCTGACCCCCTATAATTTCCTGCAACTGTGAAAATTTGATAAAAATTGGAAAAAAAAGCTTAGAAATAAATATCGATATCCATCAAAATAATAAAAATCGAATTCTACCAAGCCTATCTATAAAGTTACTTAAACAACTGCATCGATAGCCACCTTGATACGTACTAAAAATGATAGACTTTTACCTATGTTCATTCAATTGAAATAAAATCTCAGGTTTGAAAAGTTCACTCCATCCTATGACTGTGAAAATGTATGAGGCTAAACTTCTTTTTTTGCAGCTGCAACATTAACGTATGTCCTCATATGATAACAATTTATGTCGAGCACCATTTACACAGGTGGTGTTTCTGAATTCACGCAGGAATGTTAATATGGTAAATGGTAAAATGAGTAAAGATACAAATTAGTTTAAAAGAGTTCAAGCACCACATATAATGTTGCACTGTCTCTGGAAGTGGCAAGAAGAGTTAATATGTTCTTGGAGCAGAAGGCTCCAGTAACCTTTATTTACATTACATCAGAAAATGGTCATTTTAATTAAAATGAGCAACGTTCTCTCCAGGGCCAGGCACCTCCTTTTAAATTTATTCAGCCAACAATTAGCTATTATGGCTCCTGAAATTAATTTGTCTCTCTCAAGCTGCAGGGAATTAAATAATTAAGAAACTCAGGGAGTAGTAAGCTCAAAATGTAAAATTTCAAGATTTAGGGTCTCCAGCATTGAACACAATAATAAACACGTATATGATCAATGACTGATTGTAAAAACAATGGAAACCGGATTTCCTAACTTTTTTAATTTAGAGTTTTGTATTACGTTTTCATGTAAAACATGATTATAGCCATGCATCACAAGGTTGAATTTCAGACTGAAGAGTAATTTATATCTCCTAATTGATCATCTAGATCCTAAGGGCCCTATTTGATCTCACTGATGTCTCATTTATGATCTCAGTTTTCTGGCTGTAGGTCACAAAAATGTGACACAGAGAAAGACCATATTACTGTATTTTCTCACTTGGGATGCGATGTACGTTTGACTTGAGAAACTTGTCAGTTACTCAGTGGGAGGGAAGAGAGCAGTGTTTGCAAATGTCAAAAAGAGAAGGAGATGCTAGAATTGGGGTAGCAGGACAAATGAGTAAATTACTCATGTTCTCCACTTCCCACTTTTCTGAAATCTTAGAAAATCTAGGTATAGAATAAGTTTAAAGTAGTCCATGTTCAGCAGCTGAACCTGTATCTCATTAACCTGGCAGTATTGCAGAGGTCATATTTTCACACACGGGAGCTGTTTTCAGGGTGAGGGGGAAAAAGAGTATTCAGTGAA